CCTCTAGGCCATTTAAAAAAGATTCTATTAACTTATCAAAAGAACCGTCGAAAGGTTTAATGCAATCGAATAAATTCCTGAAAAGTTGCACTGAATTCTGTTCGACCGATTGACATTCCATGTATATCGAAATCGAAATCGAGTCAATGGCTAGACGGCGATTAGTAGCTAACCGCTCCTTTAACCGTCTCTGTTGGTAAATTGCCCTAAGGCGTTGGTACTTAAGTTTTTAATTAAGGCGATTTACGCCGCGCCAATTCGGAGATCGGAGATCATCATTCGTTAAGTGGTGTTCGACCCGAGGGCCTTTACCACTACATGTTTATCAATCCCCTAAGGACCTGTAAAAGTTCGTTAAATTCCATAAACTGGAAAAGTCCTGTGCACTTGTAATAAAAGTGCAAAGTCTTTCAGTAGTGAAGAAGTTGATCAGGGGTGGCGACTTATATCGGCCACAGATGAAGTCTTGGATAAGCTATAATAGCAACTAAATTTTAGCATATCTTTTACACATTATCGTATATTTGACACAGTATCGTACATTAGTAAGATGAAAAGGATGATAAAGATGAAACAAAATCTAGATTAAATAGTTGAAAATAATAAAATATATACAAGAACTACCATCTAACATTATGATGTATAGTTCTGGGCCGTTTATGCGGCTGTTCGATTAGATAGTCGTACTCCCCTATGTTTTTAATAACTTCGTGAGTGGAGGAATCACATTTTTCGTAGAATTTGAATGTAATCTTTAGTAATTCAGCATCTAATGGTAAAATGACAGTGTTCCTAACGAACCACGGAGAGTTCGAGAGGAATCTGAGAGTTTTACTCTGAAAACTTTGAAGCCTTGCTCGGTTTGAACGTGCAGTAGCTGCCCACGCCGGAGCGGCATATAGAATTATGGGTCGGATTGCCTGTAGATAAAGTGTTCTTTTAGCGTTTATATTTAACTTCGAATATTTGCACATCAGAGGGTATATGCTCATTAAGGCACGTTGTGCTTTGTCTCTGATATAATTAACATGAAATTTGAAAGTTAACTTCTGGTCGAGATAAACACCTAGATATTTTACTTGGTGGTCACGTGACACGATTTGTCCGTCCATTGTAATTTCTTCTAAGTCTTGAGGGATATTTCCTTTTTTAAAGTAAATCACTTTTGATTTTTCGGGGTTAATTTTAATTTTCCATCCTTTAAACCAGGGTGAAATGTAATTAATGGCATTCTGTAGTTTATTTCTTGCATGATATGGATTAAGTGAGTGACATAAAAGTGCCGTGTCATCGGCATAGCATGCAGTGAGAATATTTTCAATATTAGGAAGATCATTAATATATAAATTATAGAGAAGCGGGGAAATTACCGACCCCTGTGGTAAACCCGCGTGAATTTTTCTTGTGGTAGAATAATTATCTTGAATCTTAACTTGAAAAGTTCTGTTCTTTAAAAAATCAGCGATTAGATGGATGATGGCAGGTGGGAAATTATAGTTCATCAGCATGATGATAAGACCGTGATGCCAAACTTTATCGAAGGATTTCTCTACATCCATAAAAATAGCAGCAACTACTTCCTTTTTATTAAAATTTTCGCCTATGAATTCTACGATTCGGGCGATCTGCTGAGTCGTTGAGAATCCCTGGCGAAATCCAAATTGATGGTCTTTGATGATGTTATTTTCATTAATAAAAGTGGTGAGTCGAGACTCGATAAGCCTTTCGAAAAGTTTGGCAATCGCAGGCAGAAGACTGATCGGTCTAAAGTTACTTGTGAGATTTCCAGCTTTGCCAGGCTTTTTAATGACAGTTAGAATGGCGTGTTTCCAATTTTTTGGGAATGTATTAAGTCTTAAACATGCGTTAAAAATATTTGTAATAAGAACGATGCCTTTCCTTGGAAGGTATTGCAGGGCCTGCCGCGCCAACTAGGCGAAACTTGTCAAATTTTGTGAAATGTAGGTGGAGTGGAGGGAGATGATTGGCAGGAGCCTGTCACGTGGGTGGTCACCCACCCAAGTTCAGACTCCGAGCAAAGCAGCTTACGCGTGCAATGAGAAATATTGGATATATTAATAATTATCAAGTTTTGAAACAGGTTATCCAGATTGGAATAATTAAACTAATATCGCGATCTAAATGAAGCCAAATGGCACAACTAAGTGCAACAGATTAGCTAAACAAAATATTCAAATTCATCCTTGCTGTAAAACACAGATTGGACAGTGGTAGTCACGTGGGGGTCACCCTCCCGTGAACTGTCCACAGCCAGTGTATCTTGAAATAGTAGATATCACAATTCAGTGAAGTCTTGGTCTGAGAAATTAAACACTAAAGTTCTTGCAGGGTACAGAAACACTGAGGCACATGAGTTACTGAAACTATACACTATGTACATATAGGGACAGCGGTGTTTGAGCGAAGTAGCAAATGGTGAATAACACTTTACACTAAGATAGCAATAAGTAATCAAAGCTTTGAAGATCCAGGTACACGGATCATGTCCATAAGTCCACAATATTACAAAGTCTCTGGTATAACAATAAGAAGATTGAAACTGGTAATTAAAAAATGACAAATATAAAATCTGTGCTTTGAAGATCCAGGTACACGGATCATGTCCATAAGTCTATAAAGTTTCAAAGACACTGGTAAAAATGACACATTGAAGATAAAATAAAGATAATAGTACTATGTACAATATATACACATTTCACCATTTGCTGTTATGGAAGATGCCTCTTGGGCGCTTTGCTGCAATTTCTATAGTAAGATCATAATTTATCAGATCACGGATATGTTCGTATTGAGAAAGTTCTATTTTAGCATAGAAATTGTGGCTCGTGATGAGAATTTGATCAGCTATTGGTCTTATTTTTAGTTCTTTATGTATCTGCTGCTTACGTACGAACCATGGGGAGTCAACAATTTGTCTGAGTATTTTGTTCTGAAAGACCTGTAGTTTGTGTCTATAAGTCTTGTACACAGTGGCCCAGATAGGCACTGCATAAAGTAGGGTAGGTCTTATTAAGCTGGTATAGATCTTCTTCTTGAGACTGATATTTAATTTAGCATTTCTTCTTATTAAAGGGTAAAGAGATAGTTTAGCAGCGGTGGCTTTGCACAAGGCATACTCCGTGTTTTTTGAATAACAACTGTGAGTCGAAGACCACTCCTAGATACTTGGTACTTGAAACAATTGCTAGGGCTTGATCATTAATTTTTATATTTACATTCACAAGAGTGAACTTCCGATGACGTCTGAAAAGGAGAATTTGGCTCTTTGACGGATTTACTTTTAATTTCCGTGAATCATAATAGTGTGCTATGATATTTACTGCGCTTTCAAGTTTATCTACAGCGAGCTGAGGTTTTAGCGACTTGGTTAAAATTGCTGTGTCGTCAGCATATTTCACTACTTTTGCATTCAAAGGAACCGGCATATCATTCGTGTAGATATTAAACAGAAGCGGTCCCAGAACGCTTCCTTGAGCCACTCCGCTTTTAATTCTTTTTCTTGAAGAGAGAGAGAGAGTCATTAATGGCAAAGCACTTTTACCTGAAAGGTCCTGAAAGGTCCTGTTTTTAAGATAGCTTTTCATGAGCTTAATAAAACTGATGGGCAAATGGACAAGGTGCAGCTTGTAGAGGAGACCCTCATGCCACACCTTGTCAAATGCTTTTTCTAGATCTAGAAAGCAGCTGGCGATTGTGTTCTTTTTTGCGAAGGAGTCTGCAATAAATTCTGTAACGTTCAGTAGTTGGTGCACGGTACTATGACCGGCTCTAAAATCAAACTGTTCTTTTACATATAATTTTCTTATCCTCTAGATGTTGAGTTAATCTCTTTTGGAGCACACGCTCAAATACCCTTCCCAAACTGGGCAGAAGGCTGATCGGACGGTAGGAGTTTAAGTCCTTTGGGTTTTTCCCCGGCTTGACAAACGTAATTATCTGCGCGTGCTTCCACTGTTGCGGAAATTCCATGTATATTATTTACTGGATGATTATATAAAGGAACATCTGAGCTCGAGGCTTGCGCGCTTTGGCTAGCTGCCAAATTCGTCAAGTAACTGCGTAATTAATTGAGATTCCAACAGTTTTTACAAGTACTTTGGTAAGAATGTCATCTGTAAGGCATTTGAAAAGACTCACTTCATGTTTGAAATTGAATCAATCAGTGACTGATATAAATAATATTGCTTATATTAAAAGTAAATGTAATGCACTGTTAATCAAAGAACGTATCTACTTATTTCAACTACCTTCAGTGAGTAAATTTGCATTGCTGTAAGCTCCTGTTTGGAAGCCTCTGAATTGAGGATAAATCATCGTAGAAATGCCGAATTTGTGCTTATTTTGATTCTGAATATCTGCTCTACAAGAAGACACCAAACGTTTGGATAAATCATTTAGAAAATATCAAAAGCAACGTGCTACAATGCTAATTGTGAATATAGTGTCCGTGAAATATTGTTCTGTTTTGGTGTTTTATGTGTTTTTGTTGTTGGTGTTCTCCAATCTTCATTTTTTTCAGCGGTGCAATATTTGCATACACGGATTAGCGATTCGGTTATAACGTTCTAAGTGCTATATTGTATATCATTTATATTAAACGGTTATTGTGTTGGTGCTCAAAAGTAATTCACGTAAAACCAAAAGTAACATACAACGGTAAGGCATTTTTTGGTTTTGCTGAAAATGCAATCAGTGCAGAAGCAACAACAATTCAAGCTGTTATGGTATGTTAATTAGTTTCAAAATACAAAAAATTATTGGACTGGTACCAGTACTTAATATGACTGCTGAAGATGAATTAGATCTATGTAAGGTACCTAAAAATAAATTCAATTCAGTTAAATTTTCTTTTAATTGTTAATTTATTTATTTATTTATTATTATTTTTTTTATTTTATTTTATTTTTTATTTTTTTATTTTTTTTATTATTATTATTTTTTTTTTTTTTTTTTGTCAAAATACTTAAAATTATACTTACTCTTTGGTATTCTTGTTCCTTGCTAACTTCTGAAACCTTTTCAATTAGCTGTTTAAATTTCAATTCTATTTCTGATAGTTTTTCTTTCTGAGCAACAGCTGTGTAGTTAATAGCACGTTCTCCCACTTGTAAAGCGAAGTGAATTTTCTGTGAAATATAATTATTTTAAGGTCCCTAAAATTATTATTCCATGTATTACAGTTCCTATTAAGGAAGATAACACTGAAGATGGCAGGGTTTAGAACAAGAATGCATAATTAAGTAGAGAAATAATTTGCGTACAACACGCAAATGTAACAAACACGAAAAATGTTCACCCTTTTGTTATTACAAGTTCTCATTTTCATTTTGAAGTAGATTCCAGCAAAAGAGAAAGAGGTCATTTCAAATAAAATCTTAATGTTTTACAAGATATTATGTGTAACTCTTTTACATTATCATTTTAAAGTCTATTTGTACATTATCATTTAAATAAATTAACGTATTTTAAAACCTAATGATTCTATACCAAATATGTTATATATGGCATTAAAACATCTGCATAATAATGCTACAGATCTTCATAGGATTATAAGTTCGATATATTATAAACTTATCTCAGTTAATTATGTTATTAGTAATAAAGTAAAGATTTAAATTATCAAGAATTGCTTCTACGGCTTTTAAACAATTCAGTGTATTAAGGAAATACAAATTGATTAAGTCTGACAGGTAAATTAGTCTTCAGTACTTCGCTGAATATGTTATATATTATATTTACTTATATTTCGCTTCTTCTACACAAGGCCGTAAGGAAGAAAAATTGAAAACCTTATGTTTCGCATGGTGCAACATGTGCCACAGCAAGTATATGATATATGGATAACAACATAAACTAATACAATGTTGTGCAATTTCCCGCTCTATGAAAAGCTAACTCTTAGAATCGTAAACACAAACAGACTTATCGCTGTGTAATATTTTTGAAGTACAGTAAATAAAACTCAGATGAAGGTTTAAAATGAACTCATTTACTCGTCATCTGGAGTATTACACGAAACTTAAATGATTAACAAAGCACAGTATCCGCACCTTGAGAGAAAATCAGAACATATATTCAATTAAAATATTAAGTTCGAAGTAACGCATCTACTAAGCTTTGGCTCGGTCCTCAAAATTCCATAAAGTAATTGCTTCTAGCAGTGCTAAAGCCGAGTAATTGAGTAGCAGGGAGATTTAACAGAGTGGCAAGTCAATACATTTGCCAAAGGTTCCCTCTCGAACTCAAGAAGTTTGCTTTTAATTACATGAGTTAATTTCCTTCCTGAGATTTAGATAAAGTAGAAGTGAAAGGTAAAGACAAAAGAATAATGTAGCTGAGTTAATGAGCATGAAGGTCCAAAATTTTGGAAAAATTCCGTTGAGGACATTTTTAATGTCAAAACCTAGACCTCATGATTTTCTTTTTTTTTTTTCTTCTTTTTTTTTTCTCAACTCTCGTTTTCTTAAAATATTTACGTTAAAAAGCTTTTTCATAACGATTGAGATGTAAAGTCATGTCATCGCATGAACTTTACATTTTTGTTATCGTTCTAGAAGTGGACGAAAATGCTTCAATTTTTTTTAATTTGTTAGTAATAAATGCCAGAAAATCGATTTAATTATGGAAATTGTGTATTGTTTAATTTATAATATACTTTTTTCCATCATCATGTAAAAGATGACTTGCATTTTTGAACGCCCAATATAAGGGAGGAAAAGAGACTACGTGTACGACAGCTTCATGCTTAGCGCGTTAAGATTTTTCTTCAAGAAAGAGATTAAATGGTCTTGAGTAACTATATCTTGAGATGTAATTTAATTTGCTTAGTTTTACTATGTTTTCTATGGTACTGCGTTACTATTTTTACTATATTTGTTACAATAAATTTTAGGAATAATTGATAAATTATCTAAGTATAATTATATAATTATCTAAGTATAATTTATCAATTAATTTAATAATGCCTAATTATTAAATTGGCAATGTAAAACAACGAGTGTAAGGTTGCCACATAGCACTGCTAATCTATGTCGCTTATATTTCAGCGTCATGGAATAGAAGCACTAGCTTATAATATTATGTTATAGATTAGCTTTAACGAAAAAAGAAATAAATTTCTGACAAAAAACTTATACATAAACTATAGAAAACTTCTTTTTATGCATGCATGACATTTCTTGGAAGTTTATTGTCCATCGCATCAATAATAAATCATTTAGCATTTTTTGGCTTGCCAAGTAATTATGGCAAAGCTCTCAAGAAAAATTTTGGAACAAGAAAATTGGCTCATTTATATGAAATTCACGAAACTCATTTATAACCACATTGTATCCGGAAACAGAACATTGGAATGAACTACTATGCTGTATATAATTTGAATATGATAGGATAATAATATGTTAAATGCAAAGTACATTTTTTGCCTTTTGAATGACGAGGGGGTGGTGAGTGTTGAGCATTTAATCCATCTGAATACAGAAGATACATACAAATTATAAATTACTGACATACAAATTACCGTCTTGTGAAAAAAAAAAAAAAAAAAAAAAATATTGCGTGCATTTCTCTTCATTTAAAAATATGAAAATTTTCGTTTCGAATAATGAAATTAGTCTTAAATGTATTCACGCATTTCACTTAAAATTGTATACCAAAAGAAATTCTTTTATCCTGTAGAAATGACGGAAATAATATTGAAATTTAAAAAAAAATCTTACAAGTTTATTCCAAGAGTAGTTATTTTCTTCTGGTTTTAAACATATCAAATAACTTCCTGGATTGTGTGACGTGAAGCTGAAGACACCTTCCAGCCGGTATAATTTTGAGAAAGTGATGCTTTTTCCGGGATCCTGAATTTCCACTTTAATTTTTGTTTTCTGTGCTTCTTCTTCAAGTGAAAATGTAGATGAATATTCCAAGACGGGAGTGGATTTGTAATAGCCTAGAATAGAAACGAATATTTATGAATCTGGAGGGAAAGGAAGCCAGCGAAGTAGTTGTTGCTATCAAATTGTTACTGAAGTTTTTAGTGTAACCACATGCTTTCGTCACAGTGTAAACTTCAGTAACAGAAATCCAAAGTTACATACAAGACGCGCATTCTTCAGCTCTGTTTCTGTTAATGCTGCACGAACGCGTTAAATGTGTGTTTCTCCAATCAGCGAACGTATTCACTTGGGTTGACAATTGCTCTTTGGTCGGTGTGCAGTGACAGAACTTGGAACGGATGAAGTTCAAGTTATATCCTTCATCTCCGTACACGGCGGGGTCGTGTGCAATGAAGAAGCCAGAAATTAGCGATTTGGCTAATTTCTGTGGTCAATAAAAATCATGATAGAAGCGGTAGATAAAAATGAAATTCTCATCGGAGAAGTGCAAACACATGGTCTATTGTATGACATCACCACTCCGAAGCACAAGGATGCATCTACTAAATAAAACGCATGAATCAAACGTATTGAAAGTTAAATAATATTTCTTTCGCAGTTGTTTTTGTTTGCTTCTTTTGTGTGTGTGCGTGACTGGTATGTTAAACTGCCTAATTTACATTTACTTAATGTTCGTTGCTTAATTTGTCCAAAAATCATAATTCAACAATAAATGTGAATATCATTTCTTTAATCAAATGAAATATACCTGCACTTAGAGTGTAGCGAATATATTTCTTCAATAATTTCCATTCAAAAGAAAGTTTTGATCATTTGTTTATATTGTAGCATCTCACTCGTACGAGCGGGAGATGCGTTGCATCAACCGATCAGCAACAGACACACAGGAAGAGGTGCATGTTTTATAGTTACAAACTTCTCTCTCTGAGCAATCTTTTTTGGCGGGTCCGATGGGAGAGAAGGCTGCTATAGTGCTCCAGGCAGGAAAATAAAGAAAAAAAAACCGAATTCCGTTTCTGTATGGGAAATAAATTATATTTTTTACACTTAATGCTGTTCCATGTTGCTTCCTTAAAATATGGGAGTCAGATCAACTAACGCAACTCTTCAATGTTATCATTGGTCCATCAATGTTGAACTATTTTATAGTAACGGACACTTTCGGTTTTGATTCATCCGCTGGGGGGTTTGATTCTTCCACCTGGACAATGGCTAATTCCAAAACTTCCGCTGTGGTGATTCCAACTTTTATTCAAGTTGGTGTCGACATTCCGAAATAGCAACTCCTAAACTGATATCAGGAAAATAATCCAAATTCAACTATGTCGTGACTCACTTTAATATAGCCACTGCTGTTCGTGATGTCATAATTCAGCCTGATCAGATCAACTCACATCAGGATTTGAAATAAAAATTATCGAAAGATGTTTTGATACAAAGACTCAAGAAATTAATCGGCTGCTAGCAGGTGAAATCCTCGGTGATCGGTAGTCAGCGAACTCCTTCGCATAATGAAACGTCGGACTAAGAATCACAATATCGAAACGACTGACTCTTGCTTGAACTACTTAATTAAACGATCCTGTTCCTGTACGAACTATACTGGCAGCCCTCTCTCCTATTACTTCGAATAAAGCGGTGGAAGTAGCCGATCGAATTTTGGCTATAAACAACATGAACATTTCCGCTATCGTTCCTAACAACTATCTTTCGGACAATGCCAGTTCTTCCTCTCAGACTCTACTCCGTGAGGAAATCAAAGTTCTTTGGAAAGAGGTTTCCAAACTTCGTCGTTCTATGAGTTCACCTGGTACCAATTTTTCTGCCTCAAACTTTCCAAGTCGCGTGGCAACTTGCTGGTACCACTGAAAATTCAAGGAAAACGAAAAAAAAAAAAAAAAAAAAAGATGGGTCCCCTCCCTTATCGCCACAAGTGTGGCGATACGGGTGACTTGATGAAGACAAGGGACTTGTTGAAGACAAAGGACCCAGACAAGGTAAACATGATGAAGGAAGAAGAGAGGCAACGGACTCTTGCTCCTTCACGAATTACGTTTATGTATGTGGAAGAAGTTATATTTTTTATAGTTAATGCTGTTCCATACTGTTTCATCAAAATACGGGAGTCAAATGAACGCAACTCATCAATATTAACGTATACGAAACGTATTACACAAAATATAAGGCATTTTTTTTTACTTGAACAAGAGATTCCTCCTCATTAACGTTATAATATTTATAACTAGATTATTTCAATAAAGATTAAATCAGTAGTCAAAGATGAAATGCATTTCATATTGAGACCAATAATTGCAGCCGTTATAAGCGCCACTCTCAAATTTTGCACACTAGAATTAAACTGCTTTTAAAATCTAATTAAAGCATTATTAACTGACACTTATGAGTCATTTCATATAATCGGATTACCCCTAGGATATTAATAATTACTGATATCTGAGTTAACATATTTAAGGTAACGCCATAGACGTATTTAGCTACTCTAAGATCAACAAATGTTATAGTCATAAATACCTAAGACAAAATACACAAGAAACAAAACTTTCACTGATGATAAATAAATTCTAAGAATCTAGATTTTATACTGTACCCCTTCCCCCGTTCTACTGAAAGGCTAATCCTAAATTCAAGTATTACTTCAGTAAGACAAGGGCTTAAAGAAATATATGACAATACAGTATGTAGCTACGATAGGCTTATGCCATGCAATAAAATGATGGCTTTTAAAATATATTCATACTTTTTTGTACTATAAATTGGTCAACTATTTTGCATTATATGTGCATCAACTTTTTTATATTGTTGCTTATGCAACAACATAAAGAGGGTCCATTCCAAGGGTTTCCCACTCCTTCCACCAAACCACACGAGAGGACTTTCGACTTGCCGCATATTTAAAGTGGCGCCTTGCTGCACCGATACTATACATTTACAAACATCTATGCCTATCTTCTCCAGGATTCAAACCCGGCCCTTCGGCACGGCAGTCAGTGATGCTAATCACTATACCGTTTGGGCGAAACTTTTTTATTTATCTGAATGAAAACTTCGCACATTTAGCCTTAAACATAAAAACCTTTAATTATTAACAGTTTTACTTAATACCGATAAGTATATATGTTACCGCTAAGTGCACATTACCTAGCTAATCTGTAGATTAACTGTTTTGCTCCGTTAAAGTTCGAAATCAAGAGTTTTTCACATTTACCTAGGTAAATGTGTCCATTAACGGCTTCCGTATCGTTTAAGTTCAAAAGTTGTTTTCTCTCATTTCCTTTCCCTCTGCCTCCACTTTACACATTACCTACTAGACAGTCGCTAATCAGCACATTGCCTACTAGGCGCTCGTTAAACTGAAAGTAAGATCTTTTCTGGAACAACAGCAACGTTTCTGTACGCTTAAATTAACATATTGTTGTTTACTTAGTTTTCTATGTCTAAAAAATCAAGTTACTACAATCAAACAATCAACAAATTAGTTGCTAGAATCAATCAGAACGATTTAAAATACATTCATGTCCAAAATTATCTTTACATACCCAAAAATGATGATATTCAATGAAATATCGAATCAGTGTGATCCGTATTTGCAGGGAATGTGTGAAAACCAAGCCTAATAATTAGCATTATCCAATCAAAAGTAATCAAACGGTTTGTGATATGCAAATCTGGGCGTTACGTCATCCAAGGGTGAATCAAGCGCTTTGCGCAAACTGAATATTTGAGTGAATTTCTGCAACATAGCGTTTGATTTCAGTGTGTAGGGACTCAAAGCGGTTTGTTATGGCTTCGAAGTATCATTTGGAAGAATCTGTAAAGTGGCGAATTATCGGCCGTTTAGAAGCAGGGCAGTCAATCATAGAAACAGCCACATGTCTGAATATTTCAAGACAGACAGTCTCTAAGCTATGGAAACAGTTTCAAAATGATGGAAGTGTTGTAAGGAGGCCTGGACAAGGTCGGAAACGAATGACAACTGCTTCTGAAGATCGGTATCTGGCACTAACTGCCCGTCGTAACAGAAAGGCTACTGCTCGCCAGTTAAGTTCAGAGCTTGCAGCCGCCACTGGAACTGTTGCATCACGGCAAACAATATACAGAAGGCTTAATGAAAGAGGCCTTTATGCCAGAAAGCCAAGGGTATGTGTTTTACTGTCTTCACAGAAAAAGAGGGATCGCTTTAATTGGTGTAAAGAACATCAAAACTGGACTGAACATCAATGGTTCCATGTTCTCTTTACTGTGAGTCGCGGTTTAGTTAACTGGCGATTCTAAACGTGTTTACATCTGGAGGGAGTCAGGAACACGAAATGATCCCTCGAACATTGTGGAACGTGACCGTTTCGGTAGTGGAGGTGTGATGGTATGGGGTGGAATAATGATCGATGGACGTACGCCCCTACACGTGTTCAGTAGCGGATCTGTGACAGGCCAGATATATCGAGATGAGGTCTTAGATCCTTATGTAAGACTTTTCAGGGGTGCGTATGGACCTGACTTTTTATTTATGGATGATAATGCCCGTCCACATTGAGCAAACCTCGTTGATGAATTCCTTGAAAGTGAAGACATTAAGCGAATACCTTGGCCACCAAACTCTCCTGACCTTAACCCGATAGAGAACTTATGGGACTACCTTGGAAGAGCAATTGCACGTATACATCCTCCTCCTAGAGATGTAAATGCTCTGAAGACGGCATTGCTGGAAGAGTGGAGATTAATTCCCCAAACTGTGGTTAACAACGTTATTTCCAGCCTTAAAACACGTTGTGATATGTGTGTACAAGTCAGGGGAGATCATATTCCATATTAAATTCGTAAGACTTAGTGTACTTTGCCATAATTAACCCTTTAACTGTCGAGTTATTTTGATGATTTGGGTACACAAACTGTCAAATTTTTTTATTGGAAAAATCAAATGTTTAGTACAAAATAAAATATACTTAAGTAGTTAAAAATTGATATTTTGAAATATATGGGTAAAATTTTAAAGTTTTGTAGCCACTACGTATTTGCTTGAGGCGGCTGCCACTCA